TTATACTAATAACCAAAGTCTAATAAATTTGTGTCAGGTTTTTCACTTATCTAGGATCAATTTTTAAAGCTCTGGCTTGTAATCTATCATAGTACTGAACCAAGTTGACAATTATCACAATATTCTCTATTTTCCACTTTTATTGGATATAAACATCTTCTACAAAGATTAATATTAAGTTTTGCAAGTCTATTTTTATGAGTATTCATTATTTCCTCATAAGTTTTTTCTTGTACATTTAATCGAAGTATATCAAATATTTCATTATAAGTTCTTTCTCATATATTTGATCGAAGTCTATTATAATGTTGAGTAACATAATATCCTCGAATATGTAAAGAACATCGACCAGAAGTTGAACCAGTAGGCTTTCTACAATCAGTACAAGGTACTCTTTTAGCTTTCCAATGATAACTAAAACCTTCAGGACACATACAGGTTCTTCCACAAACTTTACCAAAATTATGATAAAATGAACAAGTATATTCACCAATCATTTTTTTACTTATATATTAAAATATTTATTTAAAGAAAAAATTTTATAAAAGACCAAGAACACCAACTTGAAATATTCCACAAACGTCTCTTATTGTGAGTCTTTGATTCTTTTTTGGGTCTAACTTGTAAGCACCCACTGAGGAGGTAATTTAGTATTAGAATGAATAATTTGGAGTTCTTTTCTAACAAAAGACTGCTTTGGTCTATTGCCCTCTTTATCTTCAAGCCAATATAAAATAGGTTGATTTTTTTGTACCAAAGCTTTATGAATATAATAAACTTGTGGAGACCAATTCATATCAGTTGCTTGCATATATCCACCTTCTAACTCACCAGGTTCAAGCAAATATCTTACTGATGTATTATATAATAGCTTAGACTCATTAAAGCCTATAGGCCCATTTCGTAATTTGGAAGATATAGCAATAACTTGCTTCATTTTTATAGCTTTAGCAGGGGTCATACCAATTAATCTAGTTACTGAATTATTAAGATCATTAACAATAATGGGAAGATTTTTAACCCAAGCTCTAGATCTTTTGGAGATAGGCAACAATAAATCTGAAGCATTCTGTAATCTAAACAATTTTTCAGCTAAAGTGCGATTAAATCTCTTAACAATAGCTTGACTTCTATGAGACGTGCCAATCTTAATTTCAACATTATGTTTTTTCATTAATTCTTTATAGTCTGATTTAAATTCAGAACTAGGACTACCATTAATAATTTAGGCCAAATAAGAGGGTATCTGAAATTACTATAAACTTTCTTAAAGGCTTTAGCTATACTACTCGATGTCTTATCTGTTAAAGGAACAGCCCACTTATATCTGGAAACAACGTCAACTATATATAAACAATATTTATATATTTTGTTATTAATTCGATCATGAGGCATATAAAGAATATCTGCTTGATGGCATTCATTAGGAATCTGTATACTATTAAATGAGGCTCTAGAAATAAACTTTGGACGTGATTTATGAATCTGATATAAAGCCTGTTTTTCAAGCCAATCACATATTTCATCGATAGAAAAATTATATCCAGCTTTTAGAGAAGCTTCATGCAATTTTTTTATGGTTCTTTGATAGCCATTAGGTTGATAATAAATCTTATGCAAAGCAATAGATATATCTAGTTTATGAGCTTTTTTAGAATCTATTTGTATTATAGGAATAGATAACATTTTTAAACCAGCTCACTTG